GGATATTTTATTGTTGATCGTGTTTCTGATCAATTAGTATTACTCAAGTTTTAAACAATGAAAAATAGTCATTGAACCAGAAACAAATGGATCCATAAGTTGCCTGTTTGGACATTAAATGTAGAACATTTCTTTTTTTTTTTCAACTTTCAGTTGACTTGCATGCAGATCGTGACAAGACAACCCCCCAAAAAATCTTTTGCGACCCACCTGAGTGTCACAACCCAGTCTTTAGGAAACTGCTGTACACAACATAGGACATTTTACAGTAATGAACAGTGTTGGGAAGATGACTTTTAAAATGTATTCCCCTACAGATTACAGATTACATACACCAAAATGTAGTTTGTAACGTAATCGATTAAATTACTTAAAGTGAGTAACGTAATCTGAATACTTTGGATTACTTGATTTGCTGTAGAGAAGCAAAGACAAGGATATCGTAACATAAGATGTTTTATCTGCTAAAAGAAAATGAAAAGACCGAGTCTTTACTTAACCGTATTAAAAATATTATTGATAGAAGAGGAGGAGACATGGTGCATGCAGCATGGTTTAGTCCTGTTAAATCCTGTTTTAGTCCTGGTTTAGACCTAGTTTAGACCTGGTTTTAGTCCTTGTTTACACCTGGGTTTAGACCTGTGTTTTGACCTGATTTAGACCTGGTTTAGACCTGGTTTAGACCTGGTTTAGACCTGGTTTAGTGTACAACAATGAGTGGAATTACAGAAAAAAAAAAAAAGGATATAGCCCCAAATTTGAAAACAGGAACATACCGCCCTGTAATCCATTTATTTTAAACAAAGTAACTGTAATCCAATTACCACTCACTGAAACAGTAACTGGAACTGAATACAATTACTCATAATTTGTACTCTGATTACATAACTCCGGTACATGTAATCTGTTACTCCCCAACACTGGTAATGAATTCATATTGTATCTGTGGTCAGTTTTGACATCTGAAACCTTTTGTTGTCTCCGTGTTGTGACAATCATCACAGTGGCCACACATTAAACTTCCTGTTTTAGAGTTAGACCATGTTTTGTCACTCGAGGCCTTTCTGGAACAAACTGTGGTTCTGTGTGGAACATTTTAGTTTATTCCAATTCCTCTTCATGATTTGCTGAATTGCATTTGCCTCGTCACTGTGGGTGACAAAGTGGAGTTTATTAGAGTCTAGCTGTGGCGTCTCTTTATGGATCAGCAGCTCTTCTCTTTTTAGAATATCTGTGCCCTGATGAAGGCGCGTGGAGGCGCGTGGAGACGCGACGCGTGGAGACGCGTGGAGACGCGTGGAGGCGCGTGGAGACGCGTGGAGACCCAAACACACTGCACAATCTTCTTTTTTTTTTTTTTTACAGAAATCAGCCATGATTTAATAAAAGCTTTTTAAGATTCTCTAAAGCCCAGAGCGTCTCTGTCCTTGTTTAAACACTCACACCAAACATTTAGGAAGAAAAGAGACAGTCTGCTCCAGCAAATACACACAACACACACATCCTCAAATACAAACATATAACATGCATACACCGCATCAAACACACACATACAACACACACACACACTCACACGCACACATACAACACATCCAGCAAATACACACAACACACACACACTTAAATACACACAACACACACACGCAACACACACACCAAACATTTAGGAAGAAAAGAGACTACTGCAGTCTGCTCCAGCAAATACACACAACACACACACGCAACACACACACACACTTAAATACACACATACAACACACACACACACACACACACACACATACACACATCCAGCAAATACACACAACACACACACGCAACACACACACACACTTAAATACACACATACAACACACACACAACACACACACTCATACACACATCCAGCAAATACACACAACACACACACACACACACACACACACACACACACACTCAAATACACACATACAACACACACACTCACACGCACACATACAACACACACACTCAAATACACACATACACACACACACACACACACACACACACACTCAAATACACACATACAACACACACGTATCCAGCAAACAGACCCTTGTGTTACACAGATAAACACAGTGACACAGTTTGTCTCCCGCTCGGCTCCTGACACTGGATGAATGTTGCAGGACGGAGAGGAAACGCAAATGAACCGAGTGCTGCCAGATTCATCACAGCTATGAGCCCTAAAAGTGTGACATCACTACTATGATACTTTACAGCTGAGTCATCAACACTCCCTGGGGATGTGACGCTAACTGTGGGCACTGCTCTGTCTGAAGTTCTGATACTCAAGTTAGACTTTAATCTGTATTTTGTTTGAACATAATTTGAGCCATAAAGAACTGACAGTTTTTCAGTTAGTCAGTCTTGTCGTTATGTAAAATCAAACTAAACAGGACAATGAACGTTTGTATTGATCACAGGCTCCTGAAAATGTGCTGTTTAAATCCATTAAGTATTTTTTTCTTGAGTTAAAACATGTTTGGACATATTTGCTGACGTGTGCATTGTGTCACCATGGAAACTGTTGAACATTCTGCTAACAGAGCTACATTTAGAACACCCCCAGCGCGATGTCACTGCAAAGTCTTAATAGGCGATGTGTCTTGCTCGAGGACAATGAAAGATTTTATTCATCATAAGCTCCTGAAAATGTGCTGTTTAAATCAAATTCTATTTTTCTGGGGTTTTAGACTATAGTATACAACAGTATTTACTAACAGTGTTGGGAGTAACGTGTTATAAAAGTAACAAATTACTGTAATGCGTTGCTTTTTTTGTAACGCAGTAATGTGGCATTACAGGGGAAAAAAAAGTAATATTTTACTTGGTACAAATGTCAGTAACACACGTTACAATCCTTTTTAACCTGGATTGAAGTGGTGGATAGAAATTTGCAAAAATTACCACAATATCAGCAGCGGTGAAACACCGGAGACGCACCCATGTAGACTGTCAGGTGACCGCGAGTGAAAGGACCGGCACAGAACTCTGCACTCCAAGGGGCTAAACACAGCTGATGCCCGATAGTGCCTTGCAGACACCCTGTTCCACGGATTCGGGGTTTTCTCAGGGGCGGTCCAAGATTCCAAGTTCTAGTCCAAGATTAATCCTGGTTTAGTCCTTGTTTAGACCTGGTTCAGTCCTGGTTCAGTTCTGGTTTAGTTCTGGTTCAGTCCTGGTTCAGTTCCGGTTTAGTCCTGGTTCAGTCCATATACGGCACAAAAGTTCAGCATCTTCACAGTTATTTTGGTGAGAGTAACTTAAAAGTGCTGCAATAGTAATGCAATATTTTACATTTTAAATACAGTAAGATTGTAATGTAACAATGACTTTGAAATGACAGAAACAAGTCATAAATAACACATTACTGTTTTAAAGTAATTTGCCCAACAGTGTCACCATGGTAGCTTCTGAACATTCACCATATAGATACATATTAGTGTTGTTCCGATACCATTTTTGGGGGGATCTGATCCAATATTGATACTTGGCCTTAATCTGTTTGCTGATACCAATATCGTCTGATACCACATAGTGTGAAGAAGCAGACTAATTCTACTCAGTTTTGTTACAGTACAAGAGCAATAAATAAATCTACTAAAATACCTGTAAAAAGACACTCACTTAATCCTGCAGAGTAAACAAAATCCGGGTTAGCACTAATGCTGTTGTCGCTGTTATCAGGCTGCACTTTCCATTTTGCTTTTTTTCTACTAAGTTGAGCATCCACACTAAAGGCTAAATGAAGGTATCAAAGAGGAAACACAAATGTCTTCTGTGTCTTATCAGCATGTTTTAAGAGTCTGCAGAGCCTCTATAGTCTGTGTTTAACCTGCTCTGGATGTTAGCGGGAGCATTAGCCATTGGGGTACCTGAAAAATGTGTGAGATCGGAGCTTTTGCCAGTACCAGTTTCACTATCAGAACAATCCTAATACTGTATTTTCTGCACTATAGGACACAGTCTTAAGCCTCCAGCCCCATCAAAAAACGACTGCGCACCCCACAATCCAGAGCACCCTATAAACGAATCTACTCGGGTGATCCAGTACGACTTCAGTAAACTACAAAGCCGCACCACCCGCAGAACACACAAACACACAGGGAGCAGACAGCGACCGCACAGCCAAAAACACCCACAGACACACTCATCACTCCGAACGGAACGGAGGAACGAATCAAAAAAGCGAGTGCAATGTGCCACTTCTAGACTGAAACTAACTGAAAAGCCACCAAACAAAGTCCCACTGACCCATCCACCTGTTGTGTTTCCTTTAAAGTCCGGCGCGGTTTATTTGTGAAAAAAGTTCAAAAATAGACCATTCAGTGACAGTGCGCTTTATAATCCAGAGCGTCCTATAGTGCGGAAAATACATACAGTACATACAGACCCCCTTCCCCCAGCATGATGTCAAAGTATCTGCAAACTACTGAAACCCCGAAAACTTGTACTCTTGGACAAAATGTACTGTATGGATGTGTAACCTGACTGCCTCCCTTTAGTTATTCATTTATTATTATTTTTTATCTATTTGTATGTATATGTGTATGTATATGTATGTGTGTGTGCATGTATGTAGGTATATGATATATCTATGTATACAGTAATTATGTGTGTTTGTATATGCATCTGTAGTATCATTGATTATTATTATGACTACTATTATTATTTTATTTTATTATTATTATTATTATTTATGTACCTTTTTCAATTATATTAATTTTATGTGTGGAGAAAAAAAAAGAATAAATTGCAAAAAAATAAAATTATAAATCATCTGCAAATGATCAATAGTGGAAAAATACAATATTTTCACACAGGAGAGCTGCTGTTTGTGCACCATTAGGGAATGTGATATTGATTTTAAATGCTTTCAGTTTACACTCTTGGTTTTTAGCCCCTGGAACGACAACAGAAACTCTCCCTGTACCCTCAGACCCCGTCCAGGACACACCCGGGCACAGTGGACTTACTTGGGGCAGGGTGGCACGGCGTCGCCCGTCGGGTCACACTCCTCTGTCTCCTCCACAGGTTCACACGGGGCGCCCTCCCCCGCGGACAGCTGGGTCACCTGCCTGCTGCGCGCCCGGGTGCCACGCGGGGAGGCCGGGTCGGAGCAGGGCTTAGAGCAGGAGGACCACGGGCTCCAAGGGCTCAGCTGGCAGTCTTTGGGCAGCACGCACGACTGCAGGGTGAGGGGCAGGTCACGAGGGGTGCACAGGCTGGACACAGACACAAGAGGAGGGAAAAGAGGGACATTAGAGAAGTGTCATCAAGATACATTTCAAACTATTTTGATACTAAAGAATAGACTTGACACACAATACAATTCTGATACATATTCATGAAACAAAACAAAACACAAATGTGATTTTCAACATTAAATCATAGTACCATATTTTTCAGACTATAAGTTGCACTTTTTTTTCATGGTTTGGGTGTTTCCTGTGACTTATATGCAGGTGTGACTTATATATTAAAATGTTCACACTGAAGCGGTGAGAGGTTCTAGTCTTGTGTGTCAGTATCTGCTGCTCCTGTACCACTGTCACTTGACTCTACTGCACATGTCTCCTGCAGAAAGAGCCTCTGTTCTGTCTGTATCATGTCAGTCGCAACATTACTTCTGCACCACTGAAAATTTTACATTTAAACAAATTTATAAAGGCGACGGAGAAGACTGAACACAAATGCTCCAAAAAAGAAAATCATATTTTGCAGATTACAAGCTGCAAATCGTGAAATCTACAGCTGAAAACAGTAACCGAGCAGGAGAAAGAAAGTTTGGAGTGAGCAAAAAACTTGTGACACTGGGAGGATGCACCATGAAACTTTCCTGGGAGTCACTGAATGGATCAACAAAGCCTGGACTTCAGTGACACCGAAACCATCATGTCGAGCTCAGAAAGGCCGGAATAATTCTAACTGGAACTGATGCTGATGAGGACTGATGAAGAGGAAGCGGCGCTCTGTTTACCTCCGGAGGTTGCTCAGAAGTGACAGCGAGGATGAAGAATTCAATAGATTTAGTGATTTGGAGTGATATTCTGATATGAAATTCTTAAATTTTTCATTGTAATTGCTGCTTATTTTATATGATCGTAAACGATAAACTTTTGTGCCTACTTCATTACTATTATTATTTTGTACAAACATAAACAATAAACGTTGTGCCTACAATAACATTATTATTGGTATGTACGACTATAAACAAAATATGTTTCTGCAAGTATGTATATGTGTATAAACATTTATATTGAGTATATGTACCGGATATCTATGATGTGTATATGTATGTATGTACGTATGTGTATATGTGTGTGTACATGTGTGTACATGTATCTGTATGTATGTATGTGTGTATGTGTGGACATGTTTTTGTATATATGTGTGTGTATTTCTGCATAATGACAGGTAAGCACTCCAAAGGTGTTAATAAAAAAAAAAAAAGTGTGAACCACGTGATTATGTAAAACAGTTGGGGCAGGACTCTATAAGTTTTTTAAACTTCATCCTCCTCCTTTTGATCACCAGGTCCCAAATATGTTCACTTTTTATTTTTTTTGTTTGTTATTGTTTTTGAATTTTTTTGTACCTGGCTCAAACAAACAAACAAATAAATAAATAAAATGAAATATAATATGAAGAGTTAGGTAAACTTTGGTTCCTAGTCTATGATTTTATAAAATAAATTTCCCCCAAAAAGTGTGACTTATAGTCCAGTACGCCTTATATATGTTTTTTTTTTTTTTTTTTTTTTTTTGCTTATACTCTGGAGGTGGTCGTATATCTGTGTATTCCCTCACTGGTCCAGGTGGGTTTCATGAGTGTAACTAGTCTATGTTATGTCATGTCCATGTCACTGAGTACAGATAGACCTTGGCATAATTTTAGATTCAACACTAACCTTGAAGCACCATATAAAAAAGGTTTGTCATACACTAAAATACAATTTGTCTAATTTCAGGTGTATGAGAAACTCACTGACACCCCAAGCAGCAAACCCTACATGAAAGCAATGGTATTTTCTCTAAATTTTATGTTGGTCACCAGCAAAGAAGATGGTAATCAAACCCCTGGAATCTGTCAACACAACAGCTCTGAGGATCCTCAATAGAAAACAGCCACAATATCATCACTGTAAAATACCAGACATACAGTAAAATGATAAGCTTCAGAGACTTTCGACTGTTGTTCAAGATTATTAACAATATGTCTCCTCTATCACTCAAAAGGTTTGTCACATTAACATCTGAAAAGACAATCACAACTACAAGGTCCACGTGCAGCGACCAGTGTGGCACCTACAAGAAAAACAGCTCTAGGCCAGTCAGCATTTGCTTTCCAAACTAGAACAGAATGGCACGTCACAGCAGCACCACGTGAACACTCTGAGGAACACCGCAGGGAGAAGTCCAAACTGTCAGGTATCAAAACAAAAAGAACCTAATAACATAACTTATTGGAAGACCAAATGAACCTCATTGGACAACAACAAAATGGAACAAAATATCAGCCCATTTGAAACTATGCAAAGACTTCAAAAAGTTTAGTGCTGAATAGGGATGGGCATTCGATGAAATTTTCTTAATCGATCGTCGGAAGAATTAACGATCAATTATCATTAATGTTTTTTATTATTAAAATGATCATCATTATTATTACTATCTGCACTACTAATCTGCATAAATAAATTCAACTTTACGACATATAAACCGTAACGACTCTAGAGCCACATCAGCCCGTTTGACATTATAATGTGTTTAATTCAGTTTTGCTCAACTCTCACAGAAACAAAACTTAAAACCGCATCGCTAATTTGCATAAACTAAGCGAAGATAAAACTACAGCTCTTGTGTCGCTGATGCGGTTCAACTTCTGTTGGATTAAAAGACATGACTCAGGTGAATACAGGTTAGTGTGACCAGATTTGCGTTTGTCAAAACCAGGACACCGTACGGGGGGAGGGGGGTGGGGACTCGTCATCAATATTGCGCGACTCTCACCTGGCAAAACTTTTTCCCACTGGACACAGAAACATATGTGCTGCTTTGTACACTGTGCACATGGACTCACACTTGTCCCGAACGGAAAGCGTGGAATTTCTTGTACAAGTCATCGTTGCACATCGTTCGCATTTGCACTTCAGCACGTTGCAGACTGACCGACTGTTTGTGTCTCGTTCCTTCTGAGTGCAGAGAGACACATGTACGGACCCCTGTTTGGTCACGCTACACACAGCAACCTACATTCGGTTTGCTGATTAAAATGAACGTAATCGATGAAATTCTTAATGATCAATTATCGATTAATCGACTAATCATGCCCATCCCTAGTACTGAATGAAGAACATATTTTAACAATGCAGAAGTGCCAACATGAACTAACAACTAAATGATACCTGATTAAGAGCACAGAGGGAGCAGAGCGGGGTGCAATAGAGATATTTAATGTCATTGTAAATGTTATCACTATTTGTGTATAGATTGCATTGTTGTACGCTATTTTTGTATTCTATATTTTGTCGACCTCAGGGACTGCAGATGGAAATTAGCTCTGAGAGTCCCTGTCAAATAAACTAATCTAATAGAGCTCAAGATCATTCTCAAGCTATTCAGGAAAGATTCATTTGTGTCCTGTGAATGTGAGTTTTTCTTTAGTATCGATACCTTCTCAAATGAGGATCTAGTTTATAACGGAATCGGAATTCACGCTTACGTTACAAACCAGAAAGACGTTTGGAAACACGCGATGACAACTTCGAGGTAGTAAGTCTGACAAAATCTTTGAAAAATTAGAAAATGTCCCAGTTTTCTTCATCTCCATGTCATTGTAGTGCTCCGTTATGTTCCGCTAATCAACAGTTACAACCACACCTCAGTTTTCATCATTTCCCAAATAACACCCGACTCTGACTGCACTGGGTACATGAGATTAGAAGAGATGAGGCGCCAAGTTCCAGATGATTCCAAACAGCACATACATCTGCAGTCTTCGTTTTACCACTGATCACATTTACTTCAGTGGGTTTGATCACAGTCGGTCGGTGAGCCCAGTGTCGGGAACTACACTGGAAGTTGTCGTTGCATGTTTCCAAACGTCTTCCTGGTTTGTGATGTAACATGAATAGAGCCTATTCCAATAGCAAGTCACATTAAATGTCCAATATTACACAAAATTGACTCTTGTGAGCTTCAAGTCATGTTAAAATGTTGTTACCTCCTCAAAAACAAACCTGGAATTGTGTTTTGTTTCTTTCACATGCTTGAGTAATCCTTCATGATTTTCCTCTCTACATCTCATCTACATCAAATCTCAAACTGCTCTGTTCCAAGTTTTGATGTCGTGAAGAAGGTCCGACGCGTGGAAATGATCATGATCGTGTTTGTTTCTGTGTACTGTATGTATGTGACTTAAACGTGTACGCGACGTGAGCAGATCTGACCAGGGTTTTGCGTCTTTGGCAGAGGGCGGGTTCAGATTTTTTGCGTTTTGAAGCCCCAAAATGCCTGAGGAGTAGGGGCGCAGTAAGTCCCTGATGTCCTGGGGTCTGTCCATTTAAAGCTCTGTAAACTAAAACCAAAATTTTTAAATCAACACGGAACTTAACAGGAAGCCCGTGCAGTGAAGATAAAACTGGTGTAATGGGAGTTTGTCTGTTTGCTCCTGTTAAAAACCTTGCAGCCACATTTTGTACAAGTTGCAGCCGCTTAAATGTAGAAGCATTAAAACAAGTAAAAAGAGAATTACAATAATCTAAACGAGATGAAATAAAAGAGTGAACAATCATTTCAAGATCAGCATTTGATAAAATTGGTCTGAGTTTAGTGATGTTCCGAAACTGATAAAAACAGCTTTTAACTGCTTGTCCGCAGTGCCTCTCTAAAGACATAGATTTGTCCAACAGCACTCCTAGATTTCTAACGCCGGATTGGACTGAGGGGCTCAGTGAGCCGAGGTGATCCTTAATGTGAATTTTTTTCATCTGGTGCCAGAATAAGAGTTTCTGTTTTTTCATCATTAAGTTGCAAGACGTTTATAGAAAGCCAGTTTTTGATACAAAAGAAGCACTGCAGGAGAGTTTTTAGTCTGTTCATTTCTATGTCTTTAAAAGAACAATACAACTGTATGTCATCTGCATACAAATGATAAGAAACATTCTTGAAACATTTCACCATTTCACCAATTAGAAAAATGTACATCAAGAAAAGAAGTGGCCCCA